GTACATACTGTGTAGTACACCACGTCACTCACCATGCGCCGAGCTTGTGCGTCCCGACTGACTGAGGGGTCCGCTGTTCTCTGCCGACAGCGGTGGTCAAGTCTGACGACATGCAGGAGCTGGGCGGCGAGTCGCTGCAGTCGGAGCTGGCAATGCCCAAGTCGCCGCCCGGTGACGAGGCCACCTTCAGTGACGAGGAGGATGACGTGTCTCCAGGTCAGTGGGAGGTGGCCTCGGTCGTTAGCTGGATCGGCCAGAGACGGGATGAGAGCTAGATTAATTTAACTTGGTCTTGTAGCCTTGATGCAGTGACTGCCACTCGCTGTGACCGATGTCACGGACATCTCTCACCGCCAGCGTTGTTACGCCTGCGCTCCTCTAACCCTCTGTCCACCTCTCCCCCAGGGAGCTCCCCGGTGAAGGCGGAGCCGCCGCCGGTGAAGGCGGAGCCCGGTGTGGTGAAGACGGAGCCGGCTGTGGTGAAGCCGCCGTTCCCGCCGACGGAACAGGCGAGCGCGCCGGCGCCGGCCCCGGACGAGTCGCCGCCGGGCGACGGGGACGGCCCCGAGCGGCCGGCCGGCTCTCCGCAGCCCGACGACGAGCTCACTGAGGCCATGGAGGTGCTGGCGGCGCCGCTGCGGAAGGAGCTCGACAAACTGAGGAACGAGACTGATGTGGAGCTGCAGTGAGTGTCGAGGAGGGAGGAAGGCAGGGGACGGACGGGATGGGAGACGGGTTCGGTGGAAGCTGACAGTGGAATACATAATGACTGGCTGGTGTAATTGTAGTAGAAATGTTTTTGAAATACTGGTACTTTTATCTGACGTTAGTCCAGCCAGTGCCACGTCTCCGCGCGGCAGTAGCTGACTCCGTCCGCTGCGACCCTCCGTGAGCAGTAACCGCTGACTGACCTTCCCCCGCTCCGTCAGGTGCGCGGCCATCGAGCGGCTGTGTGTGGCCGCCTGCGAGTACGAGCTTACCGAGGAGGAGAACACGGCACTGAGCACCTGTCTGACGGCGCTCTGCAGCGAGACGCTCAACTCGAACGTGTACCCGGCGCCGGACGAGCTGGGCGAGGAGGCGCTCGAGGATTCCATCAGCCAGCCGCTGTTTGTTCTGATGCGCTGTCTTTGTGACGCGCCGGAGGAGGACCCCACGCGGCAGACCCTGATCGGCGTGCTGGCAGAGATGAGCGAGCGCTCGCCGCGGCTGCCCTACCTGCTGCTGCACTTCATCAACGTCAGGTGAGTTCGGAGAATGGGGACCGCGGGGATATTGTGTGACGACTAAGGGAAAGTGTTGGAGGGTGTGACGGTCAGGGACGACTGCCAGCCTGTAAAGTATATTTGTTCATTGAGCTGTGTGAGACGTGGCGAATTTTCCGAGTCTGACGAGGATTGGCGCATTGGTCGCGTTTCAGGATTGCCAAAGAGGAGAAGGAGACCAAAGTGAAGTGGTTTGGCGTGTACAAGGAGCTCTGCCACGCGCGCGACACTAACCGTGAGCTCGCCGTCTCGGTGGTGGAGGATCTCAAGGTGAGCGTGACGTCACTGGTGGACGGCAGTGACGTCATCGGTGGACGATGCGTCGTGCTGGGACACACCCGTCGTAAGGCATGCGGTTATCGTTGTGTTGTATTTCGTATGGTCCAGTAGGCCTATAGACACGCGTCTTTGTTTTTGGAGTTCAGCCGGCTTCACGGTTTTTCGAACGTGGCCCTGTGATATAATCATCGCTGATATTTTACGTTCCTTTCTAATATTTTACGTTCCTCTGTGATATTTATGTCCCTCGGCGGTGGACTGCACTGTTTGGGATGACGCTCGGCTCCCATTGCAGGCGCTCGGTGGGCTTGGCACTGAGTGAACCAGCCCCCTCCAAAAGGTACACCGAACGTCCTGAGCGTGCGTGTGAGAGAGTGAGAGGGAGAAATGGGCGGGTGTCCAAGTCCTGGTGTCAGACATCCTCTCATTGCGGGGACTTTCGGTGTTCTATCGATCACTCTCAGTCTGTTCCGAACTCCTACTGTCTGTCAGCTGTCCTATGTGCACTGTGACTGCCTCTCATCTTATTCCAAGACACGCACGCCCTGGTGAATGAGTCTGGGTTTGGAGGCCCCTCTGTCTCCCCCCCCCCCCCCGATCTGCCATACAGTATCCTTGGTCTGACAAGCCTGGTTGTGACTCCCCTCCCTCTGTGGTCCTCCCTGTGATAGTATCGCCGCCCTTACCCCTCCCCTCGGCCATTCTGACCGCCCCGCTCCCTCGCCGTCCGGTGCTGACAGACGTGCCAGGAGGAGGAGCAGAACCTGTTTATCGTGCTGGTGCCCACCCTGTTCACCCACCTGAGCACCGCCTGCGTCGGCAACGTCGAGCTGATGAACATGATCGTCAGCTCACTCGACTCGAATCAGCTGCTCCAGCTGCTGAGTCACATCGTCCAGTCGGATCTAGTCATGTTCAGAAAGGACTCCTTCATGAAGGTGCTCAGTAAGTGTTCGGCGGCGGTCGGCGCGCTGGGGTCGGTCAAGGATGCGTGGGGTCAGGGGTGAATGGGCGTGTCGTCTTTCGTGTCTGAGCGTGTCTTTCGAGGTAGTAGGGCAGCTGGGTAACGTCGAAGGTTAACAACACGCGATATAATTCCGTCATTTCCTACGGAGACACGTTTTCACGGCTGCCTTGAGATGCGAGTTTTGGGTCCGGTTTATACTGCACAGCACGGTTTAGTCATTTGTCCAACTGTGCCCACCCCGTTCATATGGCAGCCCTGTGACGTATATCTGTCCGTGTTCCCCCTGCAGACGCCAGCCTCGAGTGGGAGACGTTCGAGCAGTACTGTCTGTGGCAGCTGGCCGTGGTTCATATGGCAGCCCTGTGACGTAATGTGCTCCCCCTGCAGACGCCAGCCTCGAGTGGGAGACGTTCGAGCAGTACTGTCTGTGGCAGCTGGCCGTGGTTCATATGGCAGCCCTGTGACGTAATGTGCTCCCCCTGCAGACGCCAGCCTCGAGTGGGAGACGTTCGAGCAGTACTGTCTGTGGCAGCTGGTCGAGGCGCACGAGCTCACCATCGACTACATCCTGCCGCTGCTCACCACCATCCAGAGCCGCGAGCACGCCGAGGCGGTCAGCTGCGTCATGCTCATGCTGCGCAGAGAGGAGTGAGTCGCTTACTGACGCACCTGGGGCGTGCCGCTGGGGCGGGGATGGGTACCCTCATCTTCTGGCTAGGTCGAGGTAGCGACGTGAGTGTTGGAATTGATGGAACGCTTTTGCAAACGTCCGAACCTCTGAGGCAGAATAAGATTAGGTTCAGTATCGTAGGCGGAAAGGGGATATTGTTGAAAGATCCAATCCTCTGCCTTGTTATGCCCTCCTGTCCTCGTAATGCTCCATGTTCCATGCCCCTCCAGTGCACACATTGTTAGGCATTCACTGATGCTTATTGCTCGCGGCCCGGCTGCCCTGATATTGGGTTTCATTGGTTCTCGCCGTTGGTCGGTCCCCAGTGTCTGACTGGCCGCCCCCCCCCCCCCCCCCGCTCGGGCAGGCCGTGCATGGAGCTGGTGAAGCCGCTGCTGCAGCGCACCGCCGAGGAGCCGCACGATGTGTTCGTCGCCTCCGTGCTCAAGTACTGGTCCACCGAGTACGAGGAGCAGACGGCGCGGCTGATCGCCAACCTCATCAACCGCACCAGCCTGACGCCCAACAAGCGGCGGCGCAACTCGCCGCGCTCCAACCTGCCCACCACCGAGCAGATCCTGTGCCACCTGGACCAGATGCGCTGCGCGCTGCGCTCCGCCTCCTTCTGGAGCATCGACGAGGTGCAGACGGCGCTCAGCGTGGCGCAGAGCGGCTCCAACGAGGCGCAGCGCAAACGCTTCGCCGACCTGTTTGCCCTCATTGAGGTCGAGGAGGAGGCGCGTACGCGGCGGGGGCGCAAGGCGGCCGCGCGGGGCCGCGCCACCACCAAGAGCATTCAAAAGTCGGCCGAGACGGACTCGGATGAATCGTCAGAGGTTAGTGGTTGGCGTGTGCCGTCGTCAGTGCGCCAGTGGTGCAGTGGCCCGCGCGGTGCGGGCGGTGACGCGGGGATGACGCGCCGGCCGCCAGTGTGGGGGTGGTGTGGAGCTGCGGTCATCCGACAGCCAGGCGCGCGTCTTCAGGACCGCGCCATGGTCGGCGGTTTCGCTCTCCAGCCCGACCGGCGTGCAAACGCCGGTGGTTATCGCTGCAGCGGACCTCCGTGCTGTCTGACCTGTCAATTTTTCGAAGTCGGCCTAAGTGTGTTTTTTTTTTTAGTGCACGTTAGAACGTCGTCTTCTGTTTTACCGAACATGGTTTGCGATATGACGATTGTTCGTTGTTTTTTTTTTTGGGGGGGGGGGGCACATTTCACCCGATATTGTTACGAGGTGCGCGTAACAAAAAGTGTTTTTGTTGTTGTTTGTCTGGGTCCCGCTATTCAATTACATATGTTTATCGGTCCCCTTTTCTCCTTTTTCAAATAGCTGTAGGCTTGTATACCATTTGGCCACAGTCCCCCTGTTTGGGAGGCTGTCCGACCCCCCCCCCCCCCCCCCCATTGCACTCCTGGCTTCGTAGTAGCTCCCGTTCGTCATGTTTGGGGTGTGCCCAGCCCGTCCGCCTCTGCCCCGCATTCACCTCCTCCATTTCATCTGTTCCAGGACGAGGAGGTGATAAAGAAGCCGACGAAACGGAGACGAAGGAATAATCAGCTGAACTCTGACAGTGATTGAGTGAGAGTCGCCACGTGTCGGGCCGCGCGGCAGCGGGTATGGGGCGGCCGCCGCCGCCGCTACCGTGTCGGCGCGGGCCAACTGTTTTTAATATAATGCAATGTACCTGTGTGAGGGAGTTTACGGAATGGCGGACTTGAGCAGAAATGGAAGAGAGTAGTAGAATGGCCCGAACCCCGGACATGCAGGCTCTATGACTGCCGATTATGGTGATAAGACAACGCTAGCGGCGATCTAAGAAGTTCCACGATCTCTGCTGGTTTTATTTTAGGCATCGCATTCACCGATATCATTGAGCTTCATTCATACGCACATCAGAACGTAATCTGATCAGAGCACGAAATGCAACCCACCGATTTCACGAGGCTGGCATTGTACGCACAGCCCGATGAATTGTTCAACAAAGTGAACTGACCGCCTCACAACACGGATATCACTTGTGGTCTCTTGTACCTTGTAGAATACGAGCTGCTGAAGTCTCTTGCAAGAAAAACGTACAAAACACTGTGTTTCAAAATACTGACTCATTAAAACTTCTGTCCACCTCCACATTGTTGGCACAACGCACGTCGCACGTCCTACCGTGCATTCAAATGGGAGTGCGCAACGTTGCACCTCTTATCGAAACCTTTCTATCAATATGGACAGTCCCACCTATCAACATTAGGAACAATTGATGGTGTCAACTGGCCTTGCTGATCGGAGGGCCAGATCGTCTGGTAACCTCTCTGAGGTAGGCTGGGGGTGACTCAGACTGGATATCAGCGCGTAGGAGAGGACGTGGGGTCATCCGACTGGCCGGTGGCAGGTCAAGTGATGATCCTAGCAGCAGGTCCTCGGACTCAGCTGGCGGCTGACGTCATCTGACCGTGCCGGCAGGTCAGCTAACCGTTCCTCGCAGGAGGTCAATTACTGACTGTCCCGGTAGCACGTCCACTGGCTCCCGGCGGTTGAGGTTAGATGGTGATCCCAGCAGGGTCAGCTGACCGTCCCGGCGGCGGGGTCAGCTGACTGCGCCGGCGGCGGGATCGGGGAAGAGTCGCACCACCACGTCTGGGCTGGCCTCCATCACCGACTCACAGAAGACCGCCTCGCGGGCTGGGCCGCTACCTGCTGTCGGAACACAAGGGGAGGGGCGACGACCAGCTACAACAAGGCTGAGGGAAGATGCTTCTACATGGAATGACCGGTGGTTAAATGACAATTCAAAGGAGCAAACCACTAAGAGACCTGTCGGCTACAACCTGCAATATGTGCCAGGTGGCCGTGTCCACATATGTACTTGGCTAGTGGCCCGCCCGGTGACCTGTCCACTAACGGCGCGACCGTCCACTCACCAGCGGCCGCCGGCGGCGGACCGGCGAACTTTTTCAGCTCGCAGATGACCGGCCGTCGGATGGTCTCCGCCAGACAGACGGACGGGAGCAGTCCGGCGGCGGCCGGCACGCGCCCGGACTAAGGGAACCGACACACGGACCGGTCAGAATCCGCTGCCGGAGCAGTGGGGACATCCGCCCGGCACGACGAGCTGATAGATACGGGAATATTCCCATCAACATTCATACAATGTGATTCCAACATGAGCTAGACACAATAGGTCCAACATGGACGTTATTCGACTCGTCCCGCGTCCTGGGCCGTACCTTGGTGCGCGGCTGGAGGTAGAAGATCTCGCCTTGCTGTTCGGCCTCAGTCAGCAGCGCGCGCCACTGAGCGTCCGTGACGCCCAGCAGCTGACGGACGCTGTCGCCGATCAGCTGAGCCGTCACCGCCGCCGAGCCGTCATCCAGCACCGACCTGACGGGGGCGGAGGGACAAGGCAGTCATTAAACGCTGATCTAACCGGGAGAGGAGAGGGTACAGAGCCGTCATCCTGCACGGAAGTGACAATGGTGTCCCACCGTGTCCTCTCTCTCACACACACGCACCGTACTGGCCTCTCTCTCCACCTCCCTCCCACCGTACCGGCCCCTCATCCACCGTGCCGGCTCTAGTCCACTCATCGTGCCGCTCCCTAATCACCGTCCCCCACCACCCACCTACCTGGCCCTGGCGCTGTAGACGTGCCTCCCGCGCCCGTGGCAGCCGACGAAGCCGCAGCAGCCGGCGGTCAGCTGGCGGCCGCAGAGGGCACACTCGGCCGTCACGGACACCCGGCAGAGGTCGGCCAGCGTGACACAGCTCAGCCAGCGGGTGACCGACGGGTCCGAGAGCGCCGCCGAGAGGAAATGTACCGGCAGGTGCAGCCGCGGCCTGACGGACAGACAGGGGTCGAATGGAGGTCAAACAAGGGTCAGACCAGACAGAGATAAGACGGAGGTCAAAGAGAGAACAGACAGGTAGGAAATGGAGCGGTCAGAGCTCAGAGAGGTCCGTGGCGGGCTCACAAACGGGGGGGGGGCAGATGGGTCACAAGGCCAGGTAGCAGTCAGGGCAATGTCAGATGCCAGATACTGGTCAGCGATTATGGCCAGCTGGACAGGAGAGGCCAGGCGTGATCACCGACTTGCGGGCGGTTACACGGAGGGTTACAGTGAGGAACAGTACCGTTTGATGTGAAGCAACCATCGGACAAGTTCATTTTCACGCTCAAAACCTATCATAACGGAGCAATATGTTTGACGTCCTGAAAAATAAGACAATGGATCGCCTCTGAACAGTCACAGAGTGGAACGTCCGACACACCGTCCGCTACTCCTCCCAATCGTCACAGAGTGGAGCGCCCGACAAGACCTCCCCCGTTCCTCCCATTTATCGGCGTTAGACGCCCCCCTCCCCTGCACCCACCTCCTGGCGCCGGGGTGCTCGGGCGGCGCGCTCCAGCCGGTCAGCTCGAGCTCCGAGAGCGGCGTGGTGACCAGGTGGGCGCCGCCGCCGGCCCAGCGGACCGCGTGTGCCGTCAGAGCCGCGCCCGGCACCAGGCCGAGCAGCGAGACCCAGCGGGACGGCTCACACACGTACAGCGGCAACTCGTCCGGCGTCTCCGGGTCACTGAGCAGCAGCACCACGCGGTGGGTGTCTGCAGAGGGGAGATGTCACCGGGTCAGGTCACCAGTACACATCAGCAGCAGCGACACACGGTGGGTGACTGACTCACCACCAGACCTTAGGTAAGGTCAAATAACAATTACAACACGCAATGAGTGTACGGGCATTGGGGATAGCATGATCATTGATCAGGTCAAGCACGATTAAAATGCCCACCATTTCGTCCACAGGACAATACAACGACACAGTCGATTATTTGTAGCGATCGTGCCCCTCTCCCTGTACGTACCGAGGCTGATGGCCGCCTGGTGCGAGGCCTTGGCGTACCGGTCGCGGGCGTGGCGCCGCTCCCGTATGACGCCACGGACCGACAGCAGGTCGTCATCGGACCCGCCCGGGGCCAGCTGCGACACACTGCCGGCGTCACAGCGTCAGTACAGTACTGACAGTGTGAGACCTTCAGCACAGACACCCTGGCGCCGGCACAGCGCCAGTGCAGGGCAGCAGGGATATGTGGCGTTAGTGCAGGGCGCCATGACGTCAACACGGGGAGACCCCATGGAACATATTGATGCGACCACAGAGCTGGGCGTAAAATGACTTGAGCAACGTCCCCAAGAATATATTGAAACGGTGCCCACAGCCCAGCCGAGAAAGTCCTCGCCCCAGAGCTCACAGGACTCTGAGTAGTCGCTCACGTCCCCTTAACAGTCCCCACCTTTTCACCTGAGCACGCCCACGTCCCCCTGAGTACGCCCACTTCCCACCTTAGTACGTCGGAGGAGAGGACGGCGGCCACTGGCGAGGGCTCGGCGGTAAAGTGCAGGTCGTCCGGCGCCCGCAGCGTGGGGCACTCTGCCAGCCACGGCTGCAGCTGCCCGTTCAACAGTCTGTGGACAGAACCGGTCAGGTACGCGCGGCGTGGAAGAGGGCGGGAACGTACAGACTGCGCGACGGTTCTGGCGTACACAGAAAACGCTTAAGAAGACAGCGTATTCGGATGCAGTTACAAAATGGTGGTTACAAGTAAAATAATAGTTCATTATCATCAAAAGTAATGGGTCGGAATATGTCAAGTTGCCGTAACGCAGCGCCCCGTCCCGCCCGGGAATGAACGCTACCCACTCACTCCCGTCTCACCGCAGCGTTGCCCCACTCACTCTCTCCCTGTCCACAGACGGTCCTCAGAGTGCAGCAGGTAGGTGGTGCCCCGTGTGAGGCGGGCCGCACGCCCGGCCGCCGCTCCCGTCAGCCGCAGCACCACCGGACGGCGGCGCGCAGCCTCCTCCAGTAGTCCGTGCAGCAGCAGGAACGCTCCGCCATCACAACTGGCGGTCGGCCGGCGGGCAGAGCTGCGGTGGCACACCAGCAGACGGCCGGCCGGCGCGGGCGGCGGCGGCGGCGGCTGGCCGGCGGCGGCCGCACCGCTCCCCAGCGACACCAGCTGCCGCTCCTCACAGAGCAGGTATATCAGCGGCCGGTCGTGGCCCAGTCTCTCCACCACCAGCCGCGGCCCGCGGATCAGCACCAGACCGTCCGAGCGAGGCTGTCCGGCGGGTGGCGACTGTCCGGCGGGGTAAGTCTGTCCCTCCGCCGGCGGCACCAGCAGCAGCGGCAGGGAGCAGTCGGCGCCGGCCGTGGCCCGCAGTCCGCCGGCGCTGTCGCTGCTCAGCCACGCCACGGTCAGCCACTGTTGGTCACCGCCGACCCAGTGGTGCCAGCCGCGGCCGTCCGGCCGCTCCGGAGGAGTGGAGTCGAGCAGAGCGGCCGACACCAGCTCCGACAGAGCGGTCAGCTCGAACGGCGCCCCGAACTGGCGACAGGGGAGGGGGAGGGTGGGGGGAAGGGGTGGGGGGGGGGTGAGGTGCAGCTCGAACAGCGCGACGGCAGGAAGTTACGACTGAGGGAGAGGGGTAGCGCCGATCGAAGGGGCAGAGCGGAATACGGCATCGACAGTTAAGTGAGGTTGTGAAGGCTTTATGCTATGCCATCACCACCGATCGTCGCAGAGCGCAGTTGAAAATAGCTATCGGGAGACGCCAGACGGGAGGAAAATAAGACTGCGCTCGTCTCAGAACGACATTCGGAGCTCTGCTGGAAAACGAATGAATTGTCGAGCTGTACGAAGGAGAAGCGGAAACAGAAACAGAAAGCGAGTGGACCAGTCTACGGGAATCGGACATTCTGATTTACGTACATTTCGGAGACAATTTAACACGAAACAACCGCGGGGTAGCAACGTCATCAACACACAAACCCTGTTAGAGACAGAGTGCGCTACGAGGACATTCACTGCGAGGGCTTGCCAGCTCACCTTGTGTGATACGGCGCAGCGGTGCGGCCGGCAGAGAAACTCCTTGGTCAGCGATCGCTCGGCGGTGGGCAGCTGCTCCCTCTGCAGCAGCCGGTGCAGCACGCCCTTCGCGCCGTCCACGGGAACCCTGCGCAGCGCACAAAACGGCAGCGTGTCGGGACGGTATGGAAGGCATAAGTCGTCATGGCGCCTGAGCGAACGGGGGGGAAACCCAATCGGTGGCACCGATTGCACAGATACTTGACGACTTATGCTTATAAAAAGCATGAAACATCGATAAAAGCTACCTGGAATGACTAGTATTCTTATAACATACAGCACTGACCGGGCTCTTACGACACCAATACCCCCCTCCCCCCACCACCACCTAGCCGTCATTAGGTAGGGCAGATAGTTCCCCGTGACCTCATCCAGCCCTACCGGCGGCGGCACTGACCTTCCCTCGGCGGCGGCGGCGATGCGCTCGGCCGTGCGCCGGTACCACCAGACGGCCGTGGGCGGCAGGCAGAACCAGTGGAGGGTGTGCACAGCCGAGCGGCGGCAGATGGCCACCGGCTCCGGCTCTCTGCGGGGATGAAGGTCACAGTGGCGGTACGGCAGGGTCACGGTACGGCAGGGGTCACGGTACGGCAGGGGTCACGGTACGGCGGGTCACGGTACGGCAGGGGTCACGCAGCGGGTCAACGTACGGCGGGTCACGGTACAGAAGATGCAGGGGTCATTGTACAGCAGATGAAGGTACGGCAGGGGTCACGGTACGACGGGTTACGATACGGCAGGTCACGGCACGGAGAGAGTCACGGTACGGCAGGTCACGGTACGGCAGGTCACGGTACGGCAGGTCACGGTACGGCAGGTCACGGTACGGCAGGTCACGGTACGGCAGGTTACGGTACGACAGGTCACGATACGGCGGGTCACGATACGGCAGGTCACGGTCCATTGACCTACAATTGACAGTTGACCGCAACACAAGCCCGGTACTTAGCAGCTAGAATAAAACCAGCGACTAATTGCCTGCAATAGCACCACCGGCCCAATGAGCAGCCGAGCGGCCGGACGCGGCGTCTGTGACGGCCGAGTACCGACCTGTCCAGGACGCACACCAGGCTCCGTCCGCAGGCGTACAGTGCGCGCTCGGCGGCCTGCCAGTGGCCGTGGTGCACGACCACCTGGTCGCCGAGCCGCAGCTGGGGACAGCTGCAGACGGCCGCCAGGGCGGAGAGCACCAGCCGGCAGCTGCCGTCCAGCTCGTACAGCTGCAGAGACGGCTCGGCCGCCGTCACCGCCCCCTGGGCACACGGCGGGACGGCTGCACCGGTCAGCGGCGAGCACCGCGGGCGTACAGAGGTCAAATAACACAACGTTTTGGATGCATGTAATGTACGTTAGTCCGATGGTGACTCTTCCACATCAGCTGATTTCTAAAGGCGTTTCAAAATACCAAATACATTTACTTACTTTTGTATAAAAGTGCATGATATTGATGACTCACCTTGTATGAAATGAGGTTTGATGGTTCGTCATCGTTGTGGAACATTTCCACATCGTTCGTTGATTCCTCAATGATACTGGTTTGCGATCCAGCGATAAGAACAGCAACCTCATCTTGGGTTCCCTGCAAACACAGCTCTAGTGGCATCAATTAGCAATTCACAGGCACCTCTCAACAGGCAGAAGTAATGCTCCTCCCCCCCCCAAAAAAGCAAGCAAAAAATAAAATGAGCATGCTAAATATGATACAAAAGTCATTAACCAATGACCAACTATTTTTACTGAAAATATAACCCTTTACCTGATAGATCTTTGAATGTTTTAGGTTAGAGCAGGAGAAGACAGATCCAATCTTGATGCTTTTGTGCCAGACTAGCTGGGATGGCCTCTGGACGACCACAGGGAATGTTGCAGATGATGTAGATATTTTGAAAATAAACAACTGTCCATTCTTCAATCTGCAATGGTCACTTTCAGTTATACTCACAATAGGTGACTGTGTAATAACCACAAATAGGAATTGATGTGCCTCTGACCCCTTTCTTCACCAAGAACGAGACCATGCTGACAAAAGGACATCATGACATTGGTGGAAACTGCTCAATCTCAAAGCTATGACACTCGCTCGAAGTCAACAAAGCAGCTTCAGCATCTGCATCATGAACGACTGGAATGCCCTACCTGCTAACGTCGTATCTGAAAAAACTCTAGACATTCAAGGCACAACTTGACCATCACTGGACCCACCTAATGTACCCCGAAATACTCATAAGGGGTATCACTGTCACCCTACTTGAAATAAAAAAGTAAAAACAAAACAAATTGGTAAGGCAGATGCAACAATCCTGTTTGAGATTATGTGATCCATTTGCAATTTGAATTGGGCCAAGCCCAACACAACACTTCGACTTCAAGTTACGGCAAAAAAACAGGTGCGTAACATGGATGTCACCTACTTGTAAATATGACTCAAGCTTGAAATAACACCTCTAACGTCGACCCTCGATCCCATTTACGACCAATTCAATGAAAACATCCCAATTGCAATGAATCTAAATAAACGCAAATAAATGAAACTCGTATCTCGCGCGTACTCTAAAATGAATGGGATTACATGTGTTCAGTTACAAAATAATCGAAAGCGAACTTTGTTTTCCCATGCATCCTTTGCGAACATTTTGTGCTTGTGAGCATTCTCATCTTGCAGGCTTCGAACACAAGGAAATGAAGCAAGTGCGCTATTTTTGAGTGCAGACAAAGCTTGCTATTCCTGTTCAAAAGCAGCAAACTGACCACGCAGGCCCACTAGGATATTATTTTTGCGTTTTTCATTGGCTCCTTTTCTCGTCACCATGACAACAATGTTCAAACATTTTTGATAATCTATTATTTGAATGGCAAATGTACCCTTGGATTTCTCCCAGGGGTAACCGCTGCGCATTGTAATAAATACACGTCGGATTCGATTATAGGTTTTACCAAGGTATTACACGTAGTTAATTATTTTTTAGTTCTAGGTTCACTCCCTCTTTTCCTATTTTTTTTTTTTAATTTTGCTATCTGACTCCTAGAAGAACTGCATACTCTGACCAACTTCAACTCTGACTCCTTCTCTGCAGCCCTGCCAGGCCTGCAGAGTGATGGTTATTCAGTGACTCTGACTCAGTCAGTGACTCTGACTCAGACTCCAGGGCCCTGTTTGTCCGCTGTTTTTATATCAGCGTGCTGTCGGTTTTCCCCGTACAAGCATAGGTGGGCATCGTTCCCCAAAATTGTAACTTCGTTACTCGTTCCTCCGTTCCTTCAAAACGTGACTTCCGTTACTCGTTCCTCCGTTCCTCTGCATATAATGTAACGGAAGTTCTTTAGTCCGTTACTCCGTTACAGCAAAATAAAACACGTTAAAATGTTGTGTATTTCACACATTTTTGAGATTATTCTGACACATACTAAACCTACCGAGAAAGCGGAATGCCCACCAAATCTGCCAAGACAGCGGGCACTGATTGGACACTAAACCTTGGAACGTCTGGTGGTACTGATGCGCGCATCACTTGTCCCCGGCCAGATGCCCGTTGCCCTTCACGAACACTAGACGTTCCAGGTTGGCATCTGAGAGCATAGGCGGCGGAACGAGGGGGGGGGGGGCACCGGCGCACCGTGCCCCCTTTGATTTTGGCATTTTAACATTAGCCCTATGTGCGTTGCATGGAATGAATGGGACCAAAAGTCGGCAGTGCCCCTTCCCTTAATTGAAGATGTTCCGCTGCCACTTTCTGAGAGGGTAGCCCTTTTTGCACGTAGCACATCTTTTCCCATTGAGAACATGCGCTCTACTGAGGCGCTTGAAGGGACGCCCGTGTTGAACTTTGCGAACACATAGGTACTGCAACGCCGGCTCATTGCGGAAGGCCAGTACCTACACTGAGCCCTGAGGCCATCTTCCGTCTTCAAGTCAGGGCTGCTCAATAATCCACCATTCCGCTGCTGCATTAATGTCTGTGAGTTAGCTGAAAGATCAACCCGCTCGGATAACGAAAAGTAACGGAGGAACGAAGGAACGGACTAAACTGTAAAGTGTAACGGAGGAACGAACAACCAATGTAACGGAAGTTACTTGGTCCGTTACCCTTTTTAAAATGTAACGAGTCCGTTCCTCCGTTCCTAAAAATTGTAACGACGTTCCGGAACGGAGGAACGGAGGAACGGATCGTGCCCACCTATGCGTACAAGGAAGTTATTGCTGGCGCTTTTTGGTCCCTCATTGGTCTAACAAATAGACCACTTGAATTTGACCAATGAGGAGCCAAGAAGTAGCAGCATGCTCGCAGCGTGCTGATAAATAAATGGGGGGGGGGGGTGAACAGAGCTCAGGTCTGGCTTCCTAAATTTACTCAGACTGGCTCAGACTCCACAGCCCTGGATTGAACACTGCATATGGATATTTTTTAGATTAGGTATGTCCCCTCCAGCATCCAAGAGCTCCTTTCTGGATAGGCCAGGCTGTTTGAATCACTGCATGTTTTCAGCTGGAAAATATAACAATAAGGTTTTTCCTTTCTCATTTGCTTTTTTAGAAACTTAGCTCAAATATCTGAATAGATGAATTGACAGAGCTTGAGCCCACACTAAGCATCACTAGCCTAGGACCCAGTCTGATCCTGCAATTCTGGGTAGGCAACCGGAAAATGAGGAGAATTAAAATGCCGGTATCAGTAACCCTGGCGTCACCGGTAATGTTTTCGTTCAAGGCACCGTGCCAGGCCGAAGCATGCTGTGACGTCACTGGAAGAGAAGATACCGTACCACTCTATCAGTATCGACTGAGACTCAGATAGACTCAGAACGACTCAGGCAGACTCAAACCGTTTCAGGCAGACTCTAGCTCACTCGACCGACTCAAATCGATTCCGATCGACTCAGATCGACTCAAACTAACTCAGACCGACTCAAATCGATTCCGATCGACTCAATTCGATTCCGATCGACTCAGAGTCTCAGACAGACTCAGAACGACTCAGAGAGACTCAGGCAGACTCAAACCGACTCAGGCAGACTCAGCCCGATTCAGATCGACTCAGACTGACTTAGACCGTCTCAATCGACTCAAATCGATTCCGATCGACTCGGACAGACTCAGAACGACTCAAACCGACTCAGGCAGACTCAAACTGACTCGACCGACTCAAACCGATTCAGATCGACTCAGACCGACTCAGATAGACTCAGAACGACTCAAACTGACTGAGATCGACTCAACCGACTCAAATCGATTCCGATCGACTCCGAAAGACTCGGAACGACTCAAACAGACTCAGGCAGACTCAAACTGACTCGACCGACTCAAACCGATTCAGATCGACTCAGACTGACTCAGCTAGACTCAGAACGACTCAAACTGACTCAGACCGAATCAACCGACTCAAATCGATTCCGATCGACTAAGACAGACTCAGGCAGACTCAAGCCGACTCAACTGACTGAAACCGATTTAGACCGACTCAGACAGACCCATCGGTTTGACCTGGATCGGCTTGAGTCGATCGAGTCAGTTTGAGTGTGCCTGAGTCGGTTTGAGTCTGTCTGAGGCTGTCTGAGTCGTTCTGAGTTTGTCTGAGTCGATCGGAATCGATTTGAGTCGGTTGAGTCGGTCTGAGTCAGTTTGAGTCGCTCTGAGTCGGTCTGAATCGTTCTGAGTCTGCCTAAGTCGTTCTGAGTTTTTCTGAGTCGATCGGAATCAATTTGTGTCGGTTGAGTCGGTCTGAGTCAGTTTGAGTCGTTCTGAGTCTATCTGAGTCGGTCTGAGTCTGCCTGAGCCGGTTTGAGTCTGCCTGAGTCTGTCTGAGTCATTCTTAATCTGTCTGAGTCGATCGGAATTGATTTGAGTCGGTTGAGTTGGTCTGAGTCAGTTTGAGTCATTCTGAGTCTATCTGAGTCGGTCTAAGTCTGACTGAGTCGGTTTGAGTCTACCTGAGTGTCTGAGTCGTTAAGTCTGTCTGAGTCGATCGGAACAATTTGAGTTGGTTGAGTCGTTCTGGGTCAGTTTGAGTCGTTCTGAGTCTATCTGAGTCGGTCGGAGTCGATCCGAATCGGTCTGAGTCTGTCTGAGTCGATCGGAATCGATTTGAGTCGGTTGAGTCAGTCTGAGTTAGTTTGAGTCAGTCTGAGTCGATCTGAATCAGTTTGAGTCGGTCGAGTCAGTTTGAGTCTGCCTGAGTCAGTTTGAGTCTGCCTGAGTCGGTTTGAGTCTGCCTGAGTCGTTCTTTACGTAATATTCTCTTACCCAGTGGCGTCACAGCATGCTTTGGCCTGGCAGGGTGGCCCCTTAACCTTGAACGAAAACGCTACCGGTGACGCCAGGGTTACCGATACCAAAATGCCAAAGTTAAGTGCACTGTTCGAAGTTAGACACTCCATCCCTCTTCACTGACTTCAACTGGCTGCTGCTGGCTGCTGCACTGACTAACTGCAGATCCTCCCTTTCACTAGGAGTTTCATACATGTAGGGCTGGAGTGACTCTAAAATGAGCTTTCACTACTGGGAAAGCTCATGTTAAATTACATGTCACTAAGCTTAACCTGCTGAGCTATCTATGTGGCATTTAAATCTTTGATATGCTTCTCTCTCTCTCTCTCTCTCTCTCTCTCTCTCTCTCTCTCTCTCTCTCTCTCTCTCTCTCTCTCTCTCTCTCTCTCTCTCTCTCTCTCTCTCTCTCTCTCTCTCTGTCTCTGTCTCTGTCTCTGTCTCTGTCTCTGTCTCTGTCTCTGTCTCTGTCTCTGTCTCTGTCTCTGTCTCTGTCTCTGTCTCTGTCTCTGTCTCTGTCTCTGTCTCTGTCTCTGTCTCTGTCTCTGTCTCTGTCTCTGTCTCTGTCTCTCTCTCTCTCTCTCTCTCTCTCTCTCTCTCTCTCTCTCTCTCTCTCTCTCTCTCTCTCTCTCTCTCTCTGTCTCTGTCTCTCTCTCTCTCTCTCTCTCACGCTCACGCTCACGCTCACGCTCACGCTCACGCTCACGCTCACGCTCACGCTCACGCTCACGCTCACGCTCACGCTCACGCTCACGCTCACGCTCACGCTCACGCTCACTCTCACGCTCACTCTCACTCTCACCCTCTCACCCACCCTCTCTCTCTCTCTCTCTCTCTCTCTCTCTCTCTCTCTCTCTCTCTCTCTCTCTCTCTCTCTCTCTCTCTCTCTCTCTCTCTCTCTCTCTCTCTCTCTCTCTCTCTCTCTCTCTCTCTCTCTCTCTCTCTCTCTCTCTCTCTCTCTCTCTCTCTCTCTCTCTCTCTCTCTCTCTCTCTCTCTCTCTCTCTCTCTCTCTCTCTCTCTCTCTCTCTCTCTCTCTCTCTCTCTCTCTCTCTCTCTCTCTCTCTCTCTCTCTCTCTCTCTCTCTCTCTCTCTCTCCTCTCTCTCTCTCTCTCTCTCTCTCTCTCTCTCTCTCTCTCTCTCTCTCTCTCTCTCTCTCTCTCTCTCTCTCTCTCTCTCTCTCTCTCTCTCTCTCTCTCTCTCTCTCTCTCTCTCTCTCTCTCTCTCTCTCTCTCTCTCTCTCTCTCTCTCTCTCTCTCTCTCTCTCTCTCTCTCTCTCTCTCTCTCTCTCTCTCTCTCTCTCTCTCTCTCTCTCTCTCTCTCTCTCTCTCTCTCTCTCTCTCTCTCTCTCTCTCTCTCTCTCTCTCTCTCTCTCTCTCTCTCTCTCTCTCTCTCTCTCTCTCTCTCTCTCTCTCTCTCTCTCTCTCTCTCTCTCTCTCTCTCTCTCTCTCTCTCTCTCTCTCTCTCTCTCTCTCTCTCTCTCTCTCTCTCTCTCTCTCTCTCTCTCTCTCTCTCTCTCTCTCTCTCTCTCTCTCTCTCTCTCTCTCCTTATCTATTCTCACTCTCTTGTCAAGAAGCAAGCAAAACTAAGATAATTATGCCATTACTGAACTGAACCTGTCCCTTCCCTTGCTTTTCAAATTAAGATAACTGTGGAATAATGCCCAGGCTGGCTGTGTCTGGTCAGGATAATAAATTATATACAAATATAATCATTTCAGTGTTCTTGTCACTTTGTGGTGCATTTACTCAGCTGACCATGATCAATATGTGTTGATTACAGCCTGGTGAGACTGCCCAGCTGTCTGCCATGGGCGGGGACACCCCTGTGGACCGCTCGTACATAGTGGCCAAGTACCTGGCGCCGACGATCCACGTGTCGCTGATCGGCTCTCTGACGGCCGTCACGGTGCTGCTGCGCCTGCTGGACGGCGAGTCGGTGTGGTTCTGCTTCCTGTTCCCGGCGCTGATCGCTGCCAACTGGGCCCAGTTCATGCGCCACCCGAGCTTCGTGCAGCTGTCGGACCGGCCCGAGAACGACGTCAGTCGGTACCCGCAGCGCGCGCCGGCCGAGTGCGCCACCATCCGACCCACGGCCGCCGACGTGCACGAGCGGCTCATGGACCCGGCGCCGCGCTACCAGATCGCCGACGGCGTCCACTTTTGCCGCCGGTGCGCGTTCCACGTGCCGGCGTGCTCGCACCACTGTCCGCTGTGCCGCCACTGCATCCGGCTGCGCGACCACCACTGCTTCTTCCTGGGCGCCTGCGTGGGCCGCGACAACATGGTCTACTTCGTGTCGTTCTGCCTGCACGCGTGTCTGGGCTGCGCGGTGGCCGCCTGGACGCTGGGCGGCCACCTGCACGCGGCGCACCTTCCGCTGAACACGGTGCACGGGGCGGTGAACTTCCTGCCGCCGGCGGCGGTGGCCAGCTGGGTGCTGGGCACGGTCAGCGGCCTGGCGGTCGGCTACCTGGTGCTGCTCTACCTGGCCGTCACCACCTGCCTGGGCACCGGATTCATGTTCGGCTACCACATGGCGCTGCTGGCGTCCGGCCAGGTGGCGCACATGTGGTCGGTGACGCCGCGCCTGGAGGTGTCGCCGCGCGCCGGACAGCACTGCCGGCGCGTGTTCGGCCGCCACGGCCTGCTGCAGCTGCTGCTGCCGCTCGACCGGCGACCCTACCCGAGCCTCGACCGCGACGACTTCGGCCTGGAGGAGATCAAGGTGCTCTGAGTAGTCGGACTCGGGAGGATCGGTGTCACCGGGAGCGGAGGCCAGCACCAGGTCAGGGTATGGGCATTACGGGACGGGTCGCCTATTACAAACCCAAGAGCGGTATATACCCGTGCTGATGCATAACACATTTTCTGCTGCATCTTCAGCCTATGTTATGCTCAAAAGTAGTATTATCTTATCCCTCTCGCATCTCATTCGTGTCTAATGGGCAGGTTATAAAAAGTGCCTACCAAATATCTATAGATCAGCGCACGGTCGATTTTAGATACGCGTTTGCTGGAAGCGGAGGAGAGTAAATGCCGGATTATATGTCTTATTCCTAGATGCGACGGCCTGTATAGCGACCATAAAAGTGTACGAGGTCGATTCCTGTCGGGGAAGAGTCACGCGATAGACTCAGGGGGCAGCGATCGCTTGGACTGCCGCCAGGCTCTAAGGGCTGCTAAATGCTCGCCGTCATACGGCAATGAATAGCATAACGACCGTCTGCGCTCAAATTGGGGCTTACCTATCCGCTAAATTGTCTTTTTTGTGACTGTCATCCGCCATTCACCCTAGATTGATTTTGCTTCGATGTAGAAAGGCATCATTCACTTTTTTACTGTCAATTCCAATAATTAGTTACATCTTTAGTACTTGGGTAGGATTTATTTCGCAGCGTAACAGCATAGCATAACAGATGCATTTTGCATCGTCATGTTGGTATGACGTCATTCAAGCTGTCTTTTTCACGCAAAACGAAAATTCATGTAGCTCAAGTTTATGGTTTGTCGTAAACATTCTGGTGACACGCCGTTGTGTAGCGTGATAACGGGGACCGGCGCGGCTAGTTTTAGTTCTTAGACCTTGAGGTTTGATCGCTTGATATGCTCTTCGGATGTAGATTTAGCGCAGTTCTACAGCATAGTACTAGTTAAGGGTGGAGCTGTTGTTATCGTTTTGTATGGAGTGCATTGTTTGATTTATCGCAGAGCTAAAGACCGACAATCCCATTCTACCTATTGCTAATTCACTTCTTTTTAGTCATTCCAGCCCATGCTGTCTTTCCTGTTTTGTCTTGCTTGTCTATTGCTACCTGCTAAACATTTTGTTTATGCTTTGGGCTCTATTTTTATGAACTACTAGGTGCCGAGCATTACGCGCAGCGTAATAAGTCAAGTTTCAATAAAGTTTCAATAAAATCGGCCCAGTAGCGGCCGAGTTATGGCCAGAATAAATGTTGCGTCTCCTCTTGGCCGGCGGTGCTCTGTTCCGGTATTCATTGCCAAAGGTCAGTGACCTTCCGGCTCTGATTTGGCTCAGTTTTGAAAGCGAAGAAACTGAGCCTAAGGCACGTGCCGTCTGCTCGGCGCCGGCCGCGGCCCAAAATGCGGCAAAGATGCGCCCGCCACGTGCAAACCGACGAGCGCACCCCCACCAAAATTTAATACGACAAATGGTTGCACGCGCCCGACCCGGCGCCAAAGTTTCAACCCCCTAGCCCGCACCGTTTCGGAGCAATAGCCCGCCAAGCGTGACTGACGCGTTACATACATACATACGTACAGACATTTTGATTTTTATATATGTAACTAGAGGGACAGCATTACGCGCAGCGTAATAAATCAATTTTCATCAAAATCGGCCCAGTAGCGGCCGAGTTATGGCCAGAATAAATTTGGCGTCTCCTCTTGGCCGGCGGTGCCCTTTTCCGGTATTCATTGCCAAAGGTCAGTGACCTTCCGGCTTTAATTTCACTCAGTTTTGCAGCGAAGAAACTGAGCCTACGGCACGTGCCGTCTGCTCGGCGCCGGCCGCGGCCCAAAATGCGGCAAAGATGCGCCCGCCACGTGCACACCGCTGCACGCACCCCCTCGAAAAGTTGATACGACAAACAGATGCACGCGTCCGACTCGGCGCCAAAATTTCACCCCCGCAGCCCGCACCGTTCCACAGCAATAGCCCGCCAAGCGTGACGGACGCGTTACATACATACGTACAGACATTTTGATTTTTATATATGTAAATAGTTACAAATGTTAGGTAGTAATATGAGGAACGTTCTTTGTTAATCATAGATAACACGTTGGCACAACAGTCAAATGTCGCGATACCTAATACTCTTAGTACTTATTGGTACACTTTTAACTTGCCTCATGAACCTATCGGTCAATTTCCTGTTATTGCTCGGATTTTGACCTAATCATTTTTTACATTCTTTTAAGCTTTTTAAATTTTTTATTAAGTATACCAATATGTCTTTTGATGCTTGCTCTTCATCTTGCTTCATTTTGTATTTTCTTTTATATTTTGTGTTATTTTCTACTGTAATCCTATAGGATTACAGTATAATCACCATAGATGGTGCTTGTGTTGCATTATTAATTAAAAATGTGTGAAATCCAAACGGCTCAAGCGATCTGCTGATTCAGTTACGAGCTTAATTCGAGGGGCTATTCTCATCCGGGACATGCCGGATGCGCGTAACATGCATAGTCACCGCTTGCTAGTCTTCGTTTAGTATCGTCCATGCCATGTTTAGTTAGGTACGCCGCTAGCTTATTTTTTTATACCATCTCACAGTGGCCTGGCCAGCTCGCTCAGTATCGCGGTTAATGTGACCTGTAGGGACGGGTTAATGGCTACGTCCATGTATTTTCATTGTTGCCTTTGTGATGTGTTTGTAGTCCATTTGTAGTCACACGGCAATAATTTCAACGTTAGCCATGTTGCTCTTATTCATTTACATTTTGTACCGCTCATTGCATTTTTTTTCTTTTTGCTAACATGCTAAATCCTCATTTCCGAAACATCGACTCTGACAACGATATATGCATGTATGTAGCTAGACAGGCGCGTTACTGTAATCCAGTTACTGGCTATGTCACATGCGTTCAATGCTGATGTGTCCTTCCTTTTACTCATAGGATTCTTTGTCGATAGTTGCTAGCATCAATGCTCCTGTCTTTTCTGCTCGTGTTATAGCACAATCAATTATTCCGGGACATGAAATGCGTGCGTTTGTGCGTGCTGCCAACATGAGCTGTATCAGTCTTATGATGTTCTGTCTGGCTCAGAATGCTCCGTCCATGACGTGATAAAGCTTGACGTGCAGTGATTTGATGTGATAACTATAATCTGTGAGCATTCTGTCGTGCCGTATATCGGCCTCGCCAGTCTATCCGGGCTGCTGTGGTGTTCTACACCACAGATTACTACACCACAGATGTAGATTACAACGATGCTCTTCGCTACTTATCTCCTATCGTTATTGTGCTTTGCCTTTCATCTCGACTTCGCACTAACTGAATTTTACGCATCGTTTGTGCAATGTGCAATGTGAATTGTGTGTCCTATCGTTGCTGTATGTATTTGTGTGACATCAAGTCCAATAAATCAATCATAACATTCCACTTAGTTCTTTGATTATAAGTTTTGATAAATATCCATTGGCAGTTGAGCTCTCGACGAATGATCTCGCGACGTAGATAAGCCGATACACAATTGCGGCGAGCATTTTGATTTCGTAAGCCGATATGCCATGCATTCAGTGTTGAAGCTCCACTCCATTGTAGTCAATTTTCGGTAAAAACAATCAATTCGGTCACACGTTTCCGATATATTTGTGAATGGCACGCTCACAGACACGTCTCTAACGCAGCACGCCCAGTCCAGCGAAATGTATCCCGATGACCCGTCGTCAATTATAAAACATTAGTATTGCTCGGTTTTGAATGTTATTTGTTTCCAATTGGAACTGTATTTAGGCGCTTGACTGAGACCGTCCACCCCCCCCCCCCCCGTCCGCAATATTTACTGCCCCGGCATCGTGTGTTCTTGGCTCCAGTTCCGATCCACCCGTTTGCCCAATGGTAAGAATTCAGAGAGGGCAGCAGGGTTCCACCCATCATCACCCGTGGTCATCTTACACACTAGTCAACAATCGGCATTTGAGCACGATAATATCTGAACAATGCCCGAGTCGGTCGCTGGTCAGACTGGCCGTCAATCTCACTCGTCCGGTCGATGGAATCATCTCGACACCGGGACGGATAAGGGCATGCAATCATCCCTGTCGAAGTCCATAACACCTCATTCACTTATCTCATCTTCATCCCATCAGTCACTCACCAGTCAGTCGTATGCATCCGTCGGCCAGCCGCCATGTTCATAGGTCATCCGTGTCAGTCGCACATGTCAGTCCGTCAGAGTCGGGGTCGCTCAGTCGAGTGTATCGGGCCGGTCGGGGTCCGTAAGTCGAGTGAAGCCGGCCGGCTGGTCGGGGTCCCTCAGACGATGGTGTCCGGTTTCCGCACATAGAGCAGCTCGTGGTACTCGCAGACGGCGCGCTGCGGGTCCATTTCCGGCAGCGGCTTGCAGTGTCCCTCTCGGTCGGGGCGGCTGCTGACCAGCCGCAGCCCGCTGTGCTCCAGGCCGACCAGCACCTCGTACTGCCGGCGCAGGACGTCGTGCCGCTCCCGGCCGGTCAGATCGTGCACGATGGCCGACACGTGCACAGCCAGCTGCTGCACAGAGTCCAGCACGCGCGTGGTCATCATCTTGCGCAGCGCCGACCACTCTTCGCCGTCCTCCAGGTCCAGTTTGAGGTAGTCGACGCGTCGGCCGCGGTGGCCGAAGGCGCGCATCACCTCGGGTAGCGTCATCACGCGGTCGCCGGGCAGGGCGGCCGAGTCGTTACCGGCCAGACGCACGCGGTATAGGAACGAGCGCTCACCGCGGCGGTGGTCCGAGCGCGCGCCACTCGCGTCGAACGTGTACACCTGTGGGCAGGGGCGGAGAGACGTGTCAGTGGCGACGGACGGAGGTGGGGGCGGTCAGCGGGATTTTAAAGCGCAGGTTTCTAGGTATACCAATACCGTTACAATGTTTACGATAAAGTAAGAGTTTGTCTTATCCCCAGCCCCGTCACAACAGTGCGTATACGGCGATTGGCGACTCACGTGACATCCAAAGTTGATCATGGCCTCCTCGAACGAGTTGGACTGCATTCCGAACGAGTAGACGAGGCAGTTCTCGTGGTCCAGGTTCAGACTGGGGTCGAAACACACCACGTGGTCCTCTATTTCGTGACAGGCACGTCCACCTGATGAGAACCGAAACACAGAGGGTCAGCACGCGCGCCGGTAGCTCCTGAGGTGAGTAAACGCCAAACAGATATCCGCACGGCGAAGTTCAGCGTGGCGGTCTCATGAAGGTTAGGATGTGGACTTTGTGGAGCTTCCAGTTCAGGGACGGGGACACTGGCGGGGTGACTTTGATTGCATCGTATATCGCGTGGTTCCCCACACCTAGCGACCCACTCTCCATCCCCTTTTCGTACCGAGAAGGGCGTATGCCGAGCACGAGGAGCCCGGGTTCTCGACGTAGTCGTAAAAGTCCTTTACGTCGGTTAGCTCGTGCTTGGGCACCTTCCACTTGGAGGTCTTGAAGTGCTTGATCATCTCCTGGCTGGATATTTGAAACGAACCGTCTTCGGTGAACACCTGAAAAGGCGATATCTCGTTAATAAATTGAAGTACGACCATCAATCACATTTAACAATTAGAGGCTAGGCCACCGTTTGCATTATTGGATTAAAAAATTCCGGAGGTTAGTAATAAGCATCGACATTCCGTTAATTCGGTTAAATGCAGATGAAGAAAGCATAACGGCCGGCTAAACATACCTATAGCAAATGACTTCCCCCCCCCCCCCGCTGTCGTCGGTGCCGGCGGCCGTGACGTGACGTGACGTCTCCCCGCACTGACCGGCGTCCTGTCGTGGTGCGTCGGCATGATGACCATCATCAGGAACAGCACGCCCACGATGACAGCCGTGTTCCTGCCGAGCGTCTTCCAGCTCCGCTTGTTCAGCCCCAGCACCAACTCCATGTTCTGTAGAACGGCCACTGGGTCAGTGCGACGGTCGCAAGGCTATATAAGACGGTCGTGAGGGGGACGGATATGTGAACACGATAGATGAAAGCAGACAACCTCACAAACCAATCATTGCTTTTTGCTCCCGACATGTGAAACAAGATCGCCATCGTCACTCAAACTAAGATCAATGAATGGTACCGCCGCAGCTCCATTTCGATTTACTCGCGTAGGTATTTGTAAACAGGCGTCATTATTCCACGGAGGACAGCGCTAGTTTTGTGTGCCGCGTTGAGCTCGCTCGATACTGCTACATGCCGCATCGCAGTCTCCGGGGTAGCGCCCGCGATATCGCAAGGAATCTGCACTGTTTTGCGAGTTTTGCGAGTTTTGAAGTTTGAACCTTTTCACTGTTCGCAGCATTCACATTATAACCATTGTTTTTTATTGTGAACGGAATTGCTTATTCAAAAGTCATCTATCATAAAACTTTCTTTTGTAATGAGACGGTCAAGATAGTACGGTTTCGTCACCAGTAGTCACATAGACGCCCACACGGGGTCATTACGAGGAGAAGAATGAATGTCTGCGGTTACGACTGAAAAGGACATAATTGTGCCAAAATGAATAACTTTCACACTTGAAAGTCTTGCAAATTAATTGCGCAAATAAAAAACTTAACTCGTATATTATTAAAATGTAACGAGTTTGTGCCTACTTTGAACCCGGCAAGGGAGCACCGATTTCCCGCAATCCGTCGACTGAATGGGACGTCAGCGCGGCGGACCGTTTGGCTTACGTGGCACAACAGCATAGCGGTCACGGCGACGAGAAATGCCATCACTTATGAGTTCCACGTCCTACTGCCCTCAGCACTCAGTTGCTGACCTGGGTGGATAGTAACACTGCCATTCCTCCCTCCCCCCCCCCCCCTCTCACCTCGCTATGTGCAGCTCCGTGCCCCGTTGAGCGGTGCCGCGTCCCCCGTCCTCCTCTCACTCCGTCCGCCGTCTCTCCCTCCCTCCTCCTCCCGGCCGGTGCCTCCGCGGGTCAGTGACCCGAACGCCCAGCATCCACGGCGCATGCGCACTGAGTCGCCGCCGGCCGACCGCAGCTCATCGGGCAGTCGCGGACCGCCTCAGGGCAAACGGAGCGGGACTGGACGGATCGCGGGCGGGGCGGGATGGGACACGGGGCGGTGGGAGCTCAAACTCATATCGGAGAATATGATTATGGGCGATTCGGTGGGCCTAGAGCGGAGGGAAAGGGGATGTGACATACAACTCCTGAGAGTCAGGAGATTTCCCGGAAAGGATGTGCGAGAAGTGTTATTTAGAACGACAAGGTCAGGATCGTTTAGTATCATGAATTTCAAAATGTGTTACGCAAGCTCGCACGCTGATAAGTGATTAGTGCATCACACAAAACGATTTTTCTTAATAGCTCACAAGACATCGGAATACCAAAAATAGACGTTCCCTAATTTTCATTTTATTACAAAAAGTGTGTTCTGCTCGCTCGCCTTGACTAATGCCTGCTGGTAATGTAACGACGACTTACAAAGTAACGACCACTGACCAAGCTCCCCGCCCCAGGGCTACCATCCGACTCTCTGAACGGAGTTCACGGCCCCGCCGGTGGACGCATATCACAGCCCAGCCACTAAATAACACACGTTGGCACGAACACAACGCTACAAACGGAATGTCGCCAAACACGGCGGTACAAATGTAATACTTCAACACAGTCCAGCAGAAAAGGAACGTTTCGATACTAAACAGCACGAGAGTAATGTTTCAATACCGCACAAGGCGTCACAGCAGGCGACGGAACCGCAAAGTGCGCACCTACGACGCGCTGTCGACACCAGACCGCACCCGTACTCGCCCCGCGGCCCCGTCACCGCATAGAGCTGCTGGCCCGACGCCATTTGTACTCTCCGGGAGTGTTGTTTGCTGTCTCCTTCTGGCAGCCTCCCCCGGCAGCAGTCTTCTCGTTTACTCGGCGACGGCCGCCGTCTGCCGCTGCGGCCCCCGGTCCCGCCTACCCGCCAGCCCCTTCCTCAGGAATCCTGGGCCGCCGCGCTCGTCTCCGCACTGCTCCCACACTGCACGTCTCCACTGCCGGTCGGGCCCTGCCCCTCGTCACCCGGTCCACCGGGGCCGCCGCTCTTCGGCGCCACCTTCCGAACGCGGCGGCGGGCCGGCGGCGCCGCGCGCCCCGCGTTCTGGTCGTCCCCCGACCCAGTCCCTCGCTCTCCGCCATCCGCCGGCGGCTGGCCGGCCGTACCTTTCGTGGCGGCCAACGGGTACGCTCTGAACTTGCAGACGGGGTTCGTTCGGCCCGGGCCCCGGTAGTTGAAGTCTGTGAAGCATTTGTCGCAGAAGAACGTCGGGTTGGTTGGCGTGAGCTCGTGGTCCATGGTCAGCCATCTAAAAACAGAGCAGAAAAAAACGGCGAGCTGTAAATGGACTGACTAGATGACTTATAACCAAAAGACACACTACCGAAACCAGCGACCGTTAAGATGATTCAATAAATTAACGCACTTTCTTAGCAATGCTATATTATGCATGATAATGCGCGCGTTCGATCGGTAAATTTTGGGTATACTAGAAGATGAGTCGAATGCCGTAATCGCTGCCGCGCTCCTCGCATCCGCAGTGCTGCACTGTCGCCCCCGTGTGTCGCCGCTCCCCAACTGACCTGGGTATGTCGCGGTCGCAGAGATGGCACTCCCTGGCCTCCTGCCGCCGCCGTATGGCCACCGTCCGGGGGTAGCAGCGTTGGACCGAGTCCACACCGGGCCGGAACAGGCTGCACGGGGGCGGGGACGGGGTCACAGTGCGGCACGATAAACGGTACTGGTACAGAGTAAATGGGGGAGAGGGCGGTCATGCGGTAAAGCGAGTCACGGCACTGCCGTGCTTTGCACAGAATAACATCGAATGAATTTAACAAATGAATTAAAAAGTTCTGACGGCTCAGACAGATAGTGTCATAACAACGAAACTACATAGTGAGAACCAGACAGTTGAAAGGGCATTAAAATCTCAAACGCAAAGGACCGAAATTATCGCTTTCCACGAGCTGCTGTTACAAAAAGGGAACACAAAAAGGCCAAGCAAGGGGAAATAAAGCTCAACAAATTCGCGCGTTCTGAGTTCTGACACACCAAATTTACAGAGTTGCGCCCATACTTTTTATATAAATTAATGAGTGTAACGTTTTCCTTCATTATCGTAAAAATCTAATTAATCGTAAAATCATACAAAAAAATAGTAAAATATAAAGCAGGAAGTGCCGAATCCAACGCTTGGTGTAACTGGCGTTGCCAAAGTCAGCATTCAAGTAACAGGAAATCAAGACATCTTAAAAGTAATATTCAACGATCAAATAATTACTTCTTGCGAGAGCCATCTATATAACTAACAATATATATTTGATAGATCAGCGGAACCCGAGCAAGCATAATAAAATCGTAAAATTATCGCAAATAACCTAAGACAAATTGTTTGGTAAGTCTGTCAGCCTACCGGGAGCGCATCAAGAAAACCCACAAGTAATAATACAGAAAATCGTAAAACCGCTCTACCTGAAGTATCTAACATTCTAGTCCAGTGAGCCTGTGTGGTTTTGAGGACAGCCGTTTAACCCCAGCCCCTGTAACGCCCCGGGGCTGATGCCGACTGTTCCCCGCTGACCGGTCCGCCCCGCCTCGGTCGGCGGACCGGGCACACCATGCCGCTGTCGCGGCGCTGGCTGCTGACGGGCGCGCTGGGCGTGGCCGTGGCCGCCTGCTGGGCCGGCCGGCTGGCTCCCCGCTGGCTGCCCGCGGCGGCGGCGGCGGGGGACGGCGCCGGGCCGCCGCCAGGGTCCGGCCGCCGCCGCCGCCGCCGGGTGGCCGCGGACGCGGGCCGCGGCCGGCCGCTGCTGCTGTTCGGGCTGCCGGCCGCCGGTCGGACGGCGCTCATGGTGCGCGCGCTGCTGGCGCGGCCGGCAGCGGTGACCGTGCGGCGGCCCGTCACCGACCGACCCGACTCCGACTCCGACCCGGCCGGCGACCTGCTGCAGCACCTTAGCGCCGAGAGGCTGACTGCGGACGCCGCCGCCGGCCGGCTGGTGGCCGTGTGTCGCCGCGGGGAGCACCGCTACGGCTTCCCGCTTCACTGGGAGCGGGTGGTGGCCGGCGAGCCGCCGCTCCGGCTCATCAAGGTCCCGCTCGACGAGCTGGCGGAGCTAAAGCGGCTCTGCAGCGCCGCGGATCACACAAACTGGTGTGATGACCGGGACTGTGACAGCGAGGAAGCTGCAGACCACACAACCCAGTGCGACATCCGTGACGACAACGTCACTGACGGCAGTGCAGAGCCTTCCAACGAGACACGCGACACCACAGACCTGCCGAGCACCCCGGAACCCGCCGCCCGCAACAGCACCGACTCTCCGGGCCCCGCCACCACCGCCTCCGACAGCTGTCTAAGTTCAGAAGGAGTTGCTCGCCGCAGTTCGTCCGCCTCAGACGCCTGCCGGAGCTCAGAGGAAGTCGCTCGCCGGAGCCCGTCCCCCTCCGCTGGAGTCCCGGCTCCGTCCTCAGCCAGCCGGCCCCTGCTGGTGCTGGTGGATGTCCCCGACCGAACGGAGCTGGTCAGGCGGCTGGCGCGGCGCGACCGGCTGTCCCGCGCCGCCGCCGAGTCTCAGCTGCGTGCCGCCGAGTCTCAGCTGACCGCCGCGCTCGGCGGCCGGTCTCCGCGCGCCTTCTTCGACGCCGTCATCATCAACAACTCTCTGGAGGTTGCGGCTGAACGGCTGACGCGTCTGGTGGACGCTCAGCTGGGCGAGACGCACGGCCGCAGCCCGACCGCCGCGGAGGAGGGCAAAATGTACTCGGCGCGACAGCTGTGCGCCTCGACTCCCTCAGGAGCTCCAGCAAAGTACGGCAGCGGCGAGTGACATGTATCGTTCACCAGCCCTCAAAGGCGGCACCCAACAATACTGAGCACGGGGCGCGACCGACCGAGACAACACCTTCCCAGCACGCCAGAGCACAGCCTCCTCCACATCGCCGGGACGTCACCTGCCCGTGGCCGGCACTTACCGCAGGTCCGAGAAGACCATGATGTGGCGGCAGTCGCCCTGGTGCACGTAGATGTACGGGTAGCCGAGTCGGACGCTGAGCTCGCTGACGCGCACACCGCTCATGGAGCGGCGCCGGAGGTCGGGCATCCTGCGCAGTGTGGCCCACTCCTGGATCGGCTGGAGAGGGGGGAAGGGGCGGGGAGATTAGATGAAGGCGCTGGCGGCGGCTGGAGGGGGGGGGGGGGAGGAGGCGGTTCGAGTTCGAGTTTGATCGTTGGGTCTGTTAGTGACAAAGGGAGGCGCTCTCAGGGAGACTGACTCCTCCCAGGGCCCGCTGACCCCCTCACAGGACCCGCCGATCCCTCGCAGGGCCCGCTGACCACCTCCCAGGGCCCGCCGATCCCTCCCTGGGCCCGCCGACCCCTCCCAGGGCCCGCTGACTCCCTCCAAGGATCTGCCAACTCATATCAGTGTCCGCTGACCTCCTCCCAGGGCCCGCTGACTTCTCACCTCCGTGTAGTCGATGGCGAGTGGACTGCGGTCGTCCACGTAGAAGACGCCGTCGATGCAGAAAAATCCAGATGGATACATCTCCTGTGGCGAGCAGGCAGGAGACGTTAGAGGAGTGAAAAGACAGAATCAGAGACACAAATCCCGCCCAGTATCATACTGAGAAAACTGACAGCCGCAGCATTCGGGTCGACCTGAATACAGTTGATATTCGTACGATTTAGTCACCACTCAGTGGCAAATTTGCCCGCAAACAGATAATCAGCAAATACAATAAAAAGAGCTAAAGAATATCAGCATTTTGGAACAATAACTTATGAAATCCAAAACAAATATCACACATACTGGTAAATGCTGACAGTTGGCTGGTTGTGCGGATCCAGATCCGATTACAGCCACAATGGGAATCTTCCCGGTTCCTTTCCGTTCGTCTAACCCTGGGACAACGCACTTTTACAGACATACCGCAGAACACCAGGAGCTGGGGATGGGATCCACCGCAGAACACAGCTACAGCCACAGCCGTCTCTG